GTTGCCGCCGGCCCCGGGGGTACCCCAAGGGGCACACAAAAAACACAGGAGCACGAGGCTTGTGGGTTTGGATACGTGGTCGTCCGATGCGATGGGGAAAGGAAAGCTCCCGTAGTGTACAGGGGTCCCGACGCGGCTGAAAAAATTCTAAAGTGTTTGCAGGAGGAAGAGAAAACTATCAGGAATGCCCTGTCCACAGTCGCTCCCATGCGTATGACTCAAGCCAACCGGCTAGCTCACGGCTGCAGCACTCACTGTCACGTGTGTGATATACCGCTGAACGGTGATTCGGTGAGAGATCACTGTCATGTCACCAGCTCACAACGCGTGCAACCTCAAGCTCAGTATCAACCCCAAGACAATAAACATCCCCGTGGTCTTCCACAACTTGAGAGGGTACGACTCTCACTTGATCATGCAGGCCATCGCGAAAGTCGACGGCAACCTGATGTGCATCCCCAACAACATGGAGAGATACATCTCCTTCTCCCTGAACGGCCTGAGGTTCATCGACTCGGTTCAGTTCCTCCTGTCGTCACTCGACAGTCTGGTCAAGGCCAACGATACCTTCCCCATCACTGATCAATACACCGACGCCGAGACTCGACCCCTGCTGATGAGGAAGGGCGTGTACCCCTACGAGTACATGGATGGCTGGGCCAAGTTCGCCGAGACCCGACTACCCCCCATCAACCGATTTTACAGCAACCTAACCGACTCGACCATCACTCAAGACGATTACTCGCACGCGATTAACGTATGGAATAAACTGGGCTGTAAGAATCTTGGTGACTACCACGACCTGTACTTCAGAACAGACGTACTCCTGCTAGCCGACATGTTCGAGACGTTTAGGAGGACGTGTTTTAAGCAGTATCAACTCGACCCCGCGTGGTACTACACCAGCCCAGGTCTATCTTGGGATGCCTTGCTGAAGAAAAACGGAGTTTAGCTGGAATTGCTCACCGATTACGACATGCACCTGTTCATTGAGAAAGGCTTGCGAGGTGGGATCTCCATGGCTGCCAAAGGCTACGCAAAAGCCAATAATCAATACGTGAAGGGCTACGACTCGAGCAAGCCAAACACTCACATCCTCTACCTCGATGCCAACAACCTGTACGGTTGGGCCATGAGCCAGTATCTACCCACAAGGGGATTCGAATGGGCATCACCCGAGATCGATGTTATGAGCATCGTGCCGGATTCGAACAAAGGCTATATCCTCAAAGTGGACTTGGAATACCCCAAGGCATTGCACACATCGCACAACAGCTACCCCCTGGGCCCCGAACGTTTGAGGGTTAACCCAGACTGGATGTCTGAGTACCAACATAACTTGCTGGGTGGGCGGGTGTCAGACGTTGAAAAACTCGTGCCCAACTTAATGAATAAGACCAAGTACATCGTGCACTATCGCAACCTGCAGCTGTACCTGTCGTTGGGTATGAGGCTGACCAAAATACACAGGGTGCTCGTGTTCAACCAGAGCCCCTGGATGGAGCCCTACATCAGAATGAACACGGACCTGCAAAAGCTGGCCACCAGTGACTTTGAGAAAAACCTCTACAAGCTCATGAACAACTCGGTGTTCGGTAAGACTATGGAGAACCTGAGGAAACGCGTGACCGTGAAGCTGGTTTGGACGAAAGAGCAAGATAAAATCAGGAAACTGATAGCCAGCCCGGCATTCAACCGGAGCAAGATATTCACCGATGACCTGGTGGCCCTACACATGAAGAAAAGCCACATCAAATTCAACCGGCCTGTTTACGTGGGGATGAGCATCCTCGATTTATCCAAACACCTGATGTACGACTTTTACTATAACGAGCTCAAGAAACAGTACGGCGCCAGGTGCAAAGTGCTATACACGGACACGGACTCCCTGCTGATTGAGATTCGAACCGAGGACGTGTACGAGGACATGAAGAAACGCCTCGATTTGGATTTGGATTTGGACCATGCCATACACAGCACAGTAAATAAAAAAGTGTTCGTCAAGATGAAGGATGAGTGTGCTGGCACGCCCATAGCCGAGTACATAGGCTTGAGACCCAAGATGTACTCCATCCTGAAGGCCGACAATGGTGAGATCCGAAAGGCGAAGGGTGTCAAGAAGTACGTGGTGAAACAACACATCAAACACGCCAGATTCAAGGAAGCCCTGTTCAAGACCCGCACCTTCAGACCTCAAATGAACACGCTTAGAAGCGACGGCCACAGGATATACGGACTGACGATAAACAAGACGTCCCTATCACCGATGGACATGAAGCGTTGGATAGCCATCAACGGGATCAACACGTACACGTACGGGCATGAGAAAATTGAACCAAGAACATAGGTGTATATATAAATACCCTGTCGGGGCGACAACGATGTCACGGAACCAGAGAAAGTTTGAGGCTATTTACTACAGCCCGCGTGGGTACTGGAAAGGAGCTAGCGCCGTACATAAGCTGGCCAAAATGGCGCGAGTACCCCCGGACGAGGCCAAAGCGTGGCTTGAAAAACAAGCCCTGTGGCAGATCTATTTACCGGCACCACGCTACGTGCCCCGAAGAAAGTTCGGCATTAACATACCCAATAGCCCCCACCAGGCCGACCTCCTGTTCCTACCCCACGACAGGAGGTACAAGTATGCCCTAACCATCGTTGACGTTGCCAGCCGCTACAAGGAAGCCGAACCCTTAACCGCGAAAGACTCGGCCCAGGTAGCCCGTGGATTCGAACGCATATACAAACGCAGCCCGCTGACATGGCCCACCGAACTGCAAGTCGATCCCGGACGGGAGTTCATGGGCGCCATGTCACAACTGCTAGCAAAACACGATACCAAGATCAGGCGTGGTGCGGTCGGAGCCCATTGCAGCCAAGCCATAGTCGAGAGATTCAATCGGACTTTAGCCGAGCGCTTATTCGGGCATCAGTACGCGAGAGAGATGGCCAACCCGGGAAAACGATCGACGGAATGGGTAGCATTCATGCATGCACCGTGAAATCTACGTCTGACGTCAACAACCCTTTTCAGTTTGAAGCATATCGGCTCATTCCACGCCACACGTTATCTTGTAGATTACGGAATGGGATGAGTGTGCCAAATGGCATTGGATCCATTCGGCAATTGTCCGTAGATTAAAATCACGAGACACCAAGTCTACCCGTAACCTTCATAATTGTCCGTGACCTATTCGACTCTTTCCGTTCATTTTCGTGACGTCACAAGAATGACTCGATAAATTTGCACATTGCAACAGTGTGGACGTAGCTCAGTCGGTTCACTGTCGCGTTAACAATCCGAAGGTCGCGGGTTCGCGTCCGACGGTTTCTCACAAGCTGGTTGCTTGTCTTAATGACACGTCACCTACGGCAGAGATCGTCCTCACGAGAAGTTGTGGTGCCGTATTCTGAAGGTGCTCCCTTCATCGCCAACATAAACATAAACGTGGTGGAGGGAGATCCCCATGTATCATCCCCAACAAAGACGTGGTGGAGGGAGATCCCCATGTATCATCCCCAACATAGACGTGGTGGAGGGAGATCCCCATGTATTATCCCCAACACACAAGTGGTAGAGGGAGATCCCCATGTATCATCCCCAAGATAAATGTCGTGGAGGGAGATCCCCATGTATCACTTCCAACATAAACGTGGTAGAGGGAGATCCCCATGTATCACTTCCAAACCAGACTTTGTAGAGGGACACCTTTATGTATCACCTACAACATACTTGGTGGTGAGAAAACACCCACCTATCTTCCCTAACACACGTGATTGTTGAAAGATTCTTGTGTAACGGGGAGCACGTGTTCCGTTTCGTGCAGACATTTTACTTCCGGGTGTTGGTCGTTAACTTGCGTTAGTAACTGTACCTTTCGTTAGTCGTGGGTTTGGGTATCATACTTTGATTCTGTTCCGTCGGTGGTTGAATTGTTTTTGCTGCCATTTTCTGTTGCAGTCAGGTTGTTTGGTATGAGCAATTCTGATTGGTGGTGGGCAGATTGGCTGGCCAATCATGTCGAGGTTGTTACATAAGACGTAGGGCAGCTGCAGCGTATTTAAGTGCGTAACACAAATTATTCAGTGTCTGTATGATCGGTGAGGTTATACACCGCAATATGTCCTGTGATGGGACAACAAGATGTTCCGTGACGGAACAATGAGTCCCGACTCCACTCCCTGTTAGGTTTCAGTTTATTTTTCGGCCAATAAAGAGAAATTGAATAGAAAGGTTGTATATTTTGGGGTAAATTTGTTAGTGGGGACGTCCGGGTGGATTTCAGCGTAATGGAACATGCCAGTCAGTAGGAATTTTGTATATTAGTGTAGGTGCAGTAGATTATAGGTAGGATTTAGTGTTATTTTAAGAGGGTGGTTAAAGTGTAGTTTGAGAGGGTTGGGAGAAAGTAGGTTAGGTTATTAATAAACTATTTTAAGTAATTGTGTTTGTATATCTTTTGTTCTCAGGAATTTGTTAGATTTGACTTATTGTTTATGCTGTTTTTGTTGAGTTATAATTTATTAATAAATTATGTCTTTTTTTGAGAAATTTGTTGGTTTTTGATTGCTCCTCTGCATCCACGAACTGGGAACGGGACGGCTTTGATTCAGAACACACAACACACAACGCAAAGCATCATGGTCATACGTCGTTAAGGCCGTTCCCGTTACACTTGTTTACAGTCCCCAATTATACATTTGCAGGATAAGGGTAATTTATAAAGCATCCCAATAATACCCTTTGTAAAGGGAGATGTCAGTAGTCAACTGTGAGTCAAATGTCAATGAACAAGGAAGTATATTTGGGCAAGTAGACATTTTGATGAAAACGTTGATTCAGTCATTATACAGTATTCGTAAATATTACAAATAACACCTTTAAAATCGTGCGCTTAAACCGATCAGTGTATTATATTTAACGAAGAAACTAATCCGGATTTTAATATTCATCATGTTCCTGCAGAGACAATCTCGAAGTTTACATAGAATCTACTCACTGTTCTCCAGCACGACGTCAACACAGCCTGTCAGAAGGCGAATCTATTCCGTAATTCACACAAAGGGGCAAGTGATTCAACGTGCGACAACTGGTGTAATAAACACAACTGACAACTGACAGAGATGTGCATTTACTTATTCTTGGAAGGCGATGCCACCAATCAACCCTGGAAACAAGGAAGTTGGAAACAAGGAAGTTAGAGTTATCTCCCTTCTCCACTCTCAACACGCAGAAAACATTTATTCGGGCTCAAACCAGCATTCGTAACTACTCGCCTCTTTCCGTGACCTACAAGAAGACATCCGGCTTGCCGGAATGACACGAGTAGTTACGAATGTCAAATCTGCTGATGAAAGAATGATCACTCGTCACCTCTAAGCTGGTTCCCGGCTCCCTTTGCGCGCGCTAAATTGCTCTGCTCGTTTATTTGACGTCACATTTTTTTAAACGTAAAAATGGATTCGCTCATGCCGATCCAGATGAGGGGCACACCTGTAAAAAACTCATCAACTTGCGTTTGCTGTGGCAAACCTAAAAATGACGGAGGGCAGTTTTACAGGGTCGAGACTAAACTTACTAATAATACTAAATCAACCGAGAATTGTCTCGCTAATCTTTAGGGCGCTACGGTGGACTAAATAATACCAGGGAGACTAAATAGCGTTGTAGATTATCCTTGATAATACTAATAGTATTATTTATTTACTCATTTATTTATTTGTGTGTGTATGTGCGTGCGCTTGTTTGTAGTTTATGCGCTATGTTGATAAATGATACTTGATTAAAAGAACAGGATTTTGGAAGCACTTTAAAGAACATTTTCATGAAATTCTAATATTCTAACATGGTGATGATTTGATGAAGGTCTGAAATTATTTCAAATTATACTTCATGTTTATTATAACCAACATGAATGTTGAGTCTCAATCTTATTAACCGTCATTCCCTAAATAAAAAGATTCAAATGCATATATTTATCACATTTATCATTCATTTCCAGAGTGAAGAGGATTCACAGATCATCCTAAGACTTCTGGGACATGTGTCATGAATCAAGCAAATCTACTAAACACAAAGGTGAGTACCCCTCAATGTGTTCAGACAAACATCTATAAAGGGATAAATTGGAAGTTGTTTGGATCGGAAGTTTTAGGCATTGTAATGTCAAATTCAGATCAGATTTAAACCTACCTTGGAATTCAGAAAGTTTCAGGATTTGGGGTAGAATCTTTTAGGTTGATATTAAAAAAATCATTAAAATCAATTCTGAAAATAAGATTTATAACATTGAAGATATAATTAAACATAATTCCCACTCTGCCCAATCCACCCAGTGACTTTCTTAAAAAGTTAAACAATATGTTGTTTGGTTTTCCCTGGGATAATGAACCTGATATAATTAAAAGAGCAGTTGTTTGTAAACCAGTTGCTGAGGGAGGTTTGAGAAATGATCAACATACATGCTGTTGTTGCATTTAAAGAAAGTGGAAACATTTGTTGATAGAAACTATTCCACAATATTTAAACCTCTCACGGCTTATTTCATCGGGTACCCATTTTCTGCTGAGTGAACAGAGGCAATTTTTAACACGCACGCCCGCACACACACCTTTAAAACCAAAATTAACATGAATGCAATTCAGGCTGCTTCACAGAATCTTTCCAGTCAATACATACCGGATTAAAATGCACATTGTTGAGACTTCTTTGTACATTCTCTCAGTGATGTAATCAGTTAATCCATCATGAACAACCTACAATTTTTAATCATTATAGCTACAATTTTTAAAAAGCTACGAAAAACGTACGCCATTGGCTGGAATCACAATATAATTATATCTGTGTTCTTGTGTAAACATGATTTAGTTCCGAGTAGTAAATGTTCCGGTTCGGAATAAATGCCGTGAAATTGAGAATGGATGACACGAATAAAAATTCCGCACATACGGCAAATATTCCGTCGAACAGGAACAAATACCGTAGGCCTAACCTATTCCAGTCATTATTGAATGCAAAATGGACTCATCCAACTTGTCAACATCCGGGATGTCTACTAACTTCAACTTGGTTATATGTTGACTGTAACCTGGCTACTAACTGTAACTTGGTTACATGCTGACTGTAACTTGGCTACTGACTAACTGTAACCTGGTTACATGTTGACTGTAACCTGGCTACTAACTGTAACTTGGTTACATGCTGACTGTAACTTGGCTACTGACTAACTGTAACCCGGTTACATGTTGACTGTAACCTGGCTACTAACTGTAACTTGGTTACATGCTGACTGTAACTTGGCTACTGACTAACTGTAACTTGGTTACATGTTGACTGTAACCTGGTTACATGTTGACTGTAACCTGGTTACATGTTGACTGTAACCTGGCTACTGACTGTAACTTGGTTACATGTCGACTGTAACCTGGCTACTGACTAACTGTAACTTGGTTACATGTTGACTGTAATCTGGCTACAGACTAATTGTAACTAGGTTACATGTTCACTAACCTGGCTACTGACTGACTGTAAGTTGGTTACATAGTGACTGTAACCTGGCTTCCGACTAACTGTAACTTGCTTACATGTTGACTGTAATCCGGCTACTGACTGACTGTTAATTGTTACATGATGACTGTAACCTGGCTACTGACTGACTGTTAATTGGTTACATAATGACTGTAACCTGGCTACTGACTGACTGTAACTTGGTTGCATGTTGACTGTAACCTGGCTACTGACTGTAACCTGATTAATGAAGGTAACTTGGTTACATAATAACTGAACTCTTTTAACACAAGATTCATTTAGAATCATCAGTTAGCATTCTGGGAATCTACAATGTATTTTCATAAAAAAATTAAGTAACTTTCACACATGATAATTTGCTTCTTGATAGCCACATGATTTGTGCCATATGGAACAAATACCGCAGGAAAATGTTTTTTTCCTTTCCGTTCCCCCCACGCCCCAATTTTTAAGACCACTCCAACAAACAAAACCCTCTTTTAGACACTTTATGATGTGTGTGTAAGTTCCTCTTTACCCGGAATAAATTCTGTGTGTGCGGAACGAAATAATTGTTCCGCATGCACTATTACAGGAACAAATGTTGGAATGAAAAGTTCCGGCGGAACTTTTACTATGGGGGAACCAAATCTTTTTTACACTTGCTTACAGATATGCATCTTCACCCTTGACTCCTTCAGTGTCCAATGAAACCAAGATTTCCAACCACAGTAAAGTACAGAGACGACTAATTATGTCTGCTGAGGAACATACATCATCCTCACTGTCAGGGGCTTCTGATCCCGATAAGGTGCCACTCATTGATGAAATAGGATATCAGTGCAATCTAAGCACAACAAAGCATGATTATCATGATAATACATACTTCAAAGATCCAGGCAACTCTGAAACAGCTGGGAAGAATTGCAAGATTTCAGCCGAGAACACATCACCCAGTATGTCCAGAAATTTAGGCTCCAGTCAGTTGCTTGCCAATTCTCTTATAAACTGTCATGCCTCATTGAGACAGAGTTTGACTTGGTCTGATATCTATATTTTGACAGAAGCTGTCAATTCATTCTCAGTTTAGTCTGCTGCTGAAGCAATGATGAAGATTCTAAATTAGAAATCTGCTGCAGAAAAACATTTTCTCCAAAAGGTAGACCATAGTGTTTCAGAGTTAAACCACAGGAAAGTTGAACATGGCTATGTGTCTGAACTTATGGCCAAAGACTATAAGAATCTTACTGATTTCAAATGGCAAGCTGTTGTGGAAGTAATTGTTGTTAAAGTTGCTCAATTGCTGAATATGATGGTTACAGTCTGTGTTGGACAAGGTGGTGTAATCCCGGAGAAGTTGGAAACACTGTAGCCAAGAATAGGAATGGCTTACAGTATCTTAGTACAGGCTCGGCATCATGAACTGAGCAGGGTGCAGCCTCAGAGGATCATGACAATGTGCCTTCATGACAGTACCTGCAAACAAAAGGTAAATCATTATTTTTCCTTATCCTGACTCATGCTTATTGCTTGTCTCCCTTTCCTTCCGAATGCTAGTGGAACACTTGAATCCCCCTTTTGAAGCTCCCTTCAAAAAAGCGGACGTAAAATCACTTACCAGGAGTCATCTCCCTTCCAAAGGTTTTGGCGGGAAAACGGCGCCACCTGTCACCCATGCTCCTCACTCTCTCCTGATTCGCCCGAGTGGACGGTTGTGAGAGCGCCTGGGTCCCCTCTACGGCATTATATCCTTTTCCTATTTAGGCTTTACTTCTAAATTAGCTGTATAAGGCTTTAGGAAACATTTACCAACAATATGGTTTGAAATTATTTCTCAATTTTCCCTGTTTTATCACGTTTTTACGTGATTGTTCAGATTGTTTACAATTGATGAAATCTTGCTCTTGTTGCAGGTACAGATTGTCTGCTGTTGATCCACATAACCTATGTCCTAATTGCAAGCCCGCATGTTCATCTGGCTTCGTTGTCAGTTGTGTTTTCACCTGTCTGGTATTGAATTTTATAAATATTCATTTTATCTGTCTAGACGTGCAAAGGACAAGTCCAGACGAGATTTACACGACCTGTCTAAACCGGCTAAGCTTGCAGAGGACCGGCAGTTGGTGTCTGCGCAGATTCACCATCCCAGTGGTCTATCGGGGTCGTCAACGGAGGATGTTGCTGTCGTAGACAACAACTCTGGTTCGAAGAAGAGATCATCTACATCTGATAATTCCTCATCACAGTCCAAGAAGACTAGGGCATCGTCTTCCCAGAGGAAGAAGTCAGCTGTAGCTAAGACTTCGTCGAAGTCTCCACACAGGGGGAACGCAGAAAACAAGGTCTTTTCTCAGCTGAGATCGTCCCTCCTGAGGAATTAGATGTCTACGATGAGCCCGCCCATGCTCATCCTTGAGATCACGACTAAGAAGAAGACGAGGGCATCTTCTACCGTGACCACGCAGGACAACCTATCAACGCAGACGCCGGGCTCCAGAGAGGTACAACGCCCTTCAGAAGAAGCCTCGTCCCTCTCAGATGCTTCATCAATGCAGCAGACAACACAGAGCTTCAACCCGGGCTCCTTTATGCAGCAATTCACCCAACAGATGTTGGATTTGATGGAACAACAGTTCGCACAAAGGTCTGGCAGTCCTACCAACGTAGAGCCTACACCAGTTACGTTCGGTGAACCCTCA